TTTTTTTTTTTTTTTTTTGGGGGGGGGTGGTAATAAGCCATTTTTATCTTTTTTTAGATTGTAAAAGTAATAAATTTTGGTACTGACTACAAATAACAGTCATATTTAACGGTTTTTCGATTTAACAACGCCCTTTGAAGGTTGACAAAACTGTTTGTTATCAGCAGTTACATCATCAACAAATATTTTGAGTAAAAAGTAATTAATGAAGTTGACAAATTTTTTTCTTTTTTTTATCAAACATCTTCCAATTAAACCGAAAGTCATAAACATTTTATTGAACCTAAAAAAAAACTTAGTCAATTTTGAAGAAAAAAAAATGATGAAATGTGACAAAGAAGAATAAACATTACGGTCAAAGATATTTGATTGTCTAAAAAACTGATGTGTCATTAGCTGCCGAAAATGACAAAATTTGTTAAAAAGTCTGAAGCTATAACCTGACAGAGTTGCTTATAACATTGTAAGGCAGTTTTACAGCACAGAAAACTTTAGTTCTATTTTTTTTTTCTTTCTTTTGCCTACAGAAATAGTATAAAGTATAAAGTACTGTTTCCTACGGCAGAAATGCTGAACAGCAGAGACAGTGAAACCAATGAATAAGTCAACTGGTAATTTTGATACTGCAAAAAATTTAGCAAATAACTATATTAGTATCAGTTGAACAGAAAGTCTACAAATTTTGAATGTAAAGGATATTAGCGAATGCATTTGGTAAACTGTAGCGAGTTTGAAGTACTTCCTCCGATAATCAGTTTCAAATGACAGCGATACTTAGAAGTTGTTGAGGAAAAGTCATCAAACAAAATCACACCAGCCTTATCACTCATTGTACCATTATGCGATATGTTGTAAAAAGCTTTTTTTTTCTTGCTAATTCTAAAGTCTAGAGCATAAATATTTATTATTAATTTACAGCTGGATAGATACTGTAAGTTTATGCGATTTTTAACTTATCATTTTATAGCTTTTTTTGAGAAATTAGACATTATGAAGCAAATAAACAGCATAAAATAAAAAAAAAATTGAGAAATGAAATAAACTTGAGCAATTTTTTTGTATTATCATTATTATAAAATAATGATAAAAATATTACTAACATAAGACAACATAATTGTATAACGAAGTAAAATACAACCAAATATAATCTGGAAAAGGTCAAATATTTTTTTGCTTTTTCAACTTAAAACTTAAATTTTAATATCTTTTAAACCTTATTCATTTCTGTTTTTGACCCTCAATACAGTTTTAATTGATACTTTGAATATTACTGTAGAAATTATAACAAAAAAAAATTTATCTAGCATACAATTCTGAAATTTACAACTTTTATGTAAACATCAGAGACATTTTATTACTTTGAAAGCCAAGTAAGAAGGCAACAACTTTAAGCACAACTATCATTTGCTGTCAGATTCAGGGAGGTATGGAGATGGCACTTGCAGCTCTCCTACCCCTTTTATTTACTTCAGTATTCTGTGTTTCAGCTTCCAATGAAGGTCAGTAAAATTTCTGTTCGAAATTTGCCCAGTCCAGCAATAGTTTGTATACCCAAACAACTCTTTTACATATCGGTATATTGCATGACAAATTGAGATGAAAATGTGTAATAAGCTGAAAATTTTTTTGATCTTTTTACTAGATAAATTATTTTTTGCCACATTCTAATGCGCTACCTATATAAAGCAACAAGAAATGTAAATAAAGAAAAGTTACATCTCATAGTAGCATTAATTTTCTGTACAAAAACATCACTTTCTTCTTTCCGTTCAATTCTAACTTTTTTTTTTAAACAGCTAACTGAGTCGGTTTTTCTGTTTGTGGAATTCAAGCTCAGCGTAGGTTATCATCTTCGTTTGAAAACAAAAATGTTAGCTAAATTCACGACAATGAACAAAAAGTCTCTTACTTTTCCTACTGCTTAAGTGATGCTGTAGAAGGTCTTTCAAATTGGCACTAGCTAAGTGTTAAGTACATCGGGGAAAAAAAGAAGAAAGTTAAAACAGGTGTTCGTAGCAATACTACGAGTAGGATGTTAACTAAAACTTTTATAGTTATTATTGCACATCGTCGAGACCTTTTCAACTAAAAGTTTTGTAGAAGAGTCAAAAGGCAGAAATGTGGAAGTGTATAGAGACAAGTTTTACTTAAAATCACCAAATAAAGTACTGATGAGTGATGTAAAAGCATACCGGACCTTCCTGGTTTATACCGTTTCACTCTTTTAATCTTTGGCAAATTCTAGCTGTGAAGGCTGGGAATAGTTGTCCCGAAGGATGGACTGGAAATAATTGCGATGCGCGTAAGTAAAACATTTTTTACTACTCTGATTTATGCAGTCTCATCTAACAAGGAACAATCGTTCAACATACTTCTGAGTGATAACAACTTTAAAAAAAAAATTTTTTTTATCTTCTCTTTATTTATTGAAAAAAAAAATTCTTTTTATAAATGACTGAAAAAGAATAATATAGAAGCAAAAATCTTTGAAGCATTAACAGAATTATCATAAGAAGCATTTAAGAGTTGATAGCAAAGAAACTAGATTTTGAGCAATAAGGCAGATTAATAAGCAAAATATAGACTATAAAATCAAGAGAAATAACGTAATGTAGAATAATTTCTATTTTTCAGCCATCTGCTATGAACAGAAAATTATTGAGAGGCACGAAGGAGGGAGTTACGGAGATTATCTTTTCTGGGAACAATCAAGCAGATGTAGTGGAGAATTTTACTTCTATGTTGACGAGTTCGTACAAAACATTACTCTTTACGTTGAGGGTGGCGAAAATTTCTTTGGAGAAGTCCGTAAAAACGGTAAATCACGAAACTTAATATTGTCTTCAAAAACTGCTAATGCTTATGTTCTAGATCTTAGTACTTTACAGAATTGTTTCACTTTTTCGTTTTATTATAGAAAAACGAGTACAAGCACATGGTACACCACCAGTGGTGTCTCCAGATATTCATGTCTCTGAATTTGATGAGATTGCCAGCTTTTACGGTTATGGTGTTTATACGATAGTGGTACAAAGCGATGGAACTGAGTAAGTGCTCTATGCAACAATTCTTCCAGGAATTCAAAAGATATTAGACAGCACACAGAAAAATCTGAAGACAATCACAGTTAAGGGTTGTTGACACAAATCATGGAATTAAATTATAAACGACAAAAATATTCTTTGTGACTGCATCTGTCTTATGACTGCTATTTTGACTACTTGCTACACTTATTATTTCGAGCTTATTTTTAATTTTAGTGTGTATTTGCTTTTCCTACTACTTTATTATTGCCACGAGATCATGAAGAAAACTCAATGCGCTTATTAAAGCAACATTTTTAGGTCATGCACTATTTATGTTCGGTCTGCTACGTCGTTAATGATTGACGGTGGCTTCGTGCAAGATCGGCGTGATGATAGTGCGCAGTATGTTGTACCTCAGATCAATCAAGGAGTTGGACGTTATCCTATAGTTGTAAGTGGGCAGTAATAAAACACAGATTTTTCAGTTTTTAGACGGTTCGAAAAGTTTTTTCCTGCAGCATTTTTTTTATCTTTTTCTATTTCAAGGCAAAATTTTTTTTAGAACAACAATTCTTATTTTGCCTTCCAATATCCAGTTGCGTTATCACATCCAGGAAGAGCTAACTTTGTTTACATTAATTCTGGTAGTGGTTATGGTTCTCGAATAGCAGTCAAAGATCGGTACGGTTGTGGAGCGTCGTACATCAGTAATGCAGTCCAGTGTGAAGAAGACTTGAGTCTTACATACCATTTGAAGGTCAACTGTTGTTGTGAAA